TGTGAAAGCCCCGCCTATGCCAGGTCCCGGGGCGGCACCGGCCACTCTGGCGGCAGCCCGGCCCCTCCAACGCGGACAAATTCACGTCACCTCCACCCCATCCCCCTGCACTTCCGGTACTTCCGAAGCCACTGCGCCTGCGCAGGCATGGGATTGGCCAGCTTCTCTGACATCATTTCTAGCCGTCACCGCCTCCTGGACGTGGCTCCTGGAGAGTCCGTTTGGCACACGCGTACGGGGCAATGGACAAAGTCCCGCAGTATCTCGCTTGGTCACTGCCAACACATCCCAGGCGAAACGCTTCCGTCTTCCTGAATGCGTCTTAGGGATATAGTCCTTGCTTCCGGAAGGGCAGGCTGTGCATTATGGGTTGTTGAACTTGTGCTCTTTCCGCCCTTTGGGCGTCCTTCTCTTGAATTCTTACCCATATCGGGAATTACCCCATCGGAGGAACCTACAAGTTCCGCGGACCAGACAATCACTTGCCTCAGTGAAAGATGGAAGACCGACTCTGTCTTCCCTGGAGCAGGCGAAGACACTGTGGCTGCCAGTTGTGGCGCTAGACCTAGACGCTTCGATACCCCCAGACCAGGTCGCACTGAAGATCCTGAATATCTGGTCAGGACCTAGAAAGCTCTTTGGCATTTTCATCAGCTATTGCCAGTTAAAGGGAAGTCAACAAGGATTGTATATATGTCTGCGTTCTCTCCTGGAAAAAGCATGAAAGATAGGGCCGTCAAAGTGGTATGCTGGTTAAGGGCGCTGGACTCCCACATGACCAACCATTTGTCTTGCTCTCTCTCTCTGAAATATTAAAACAATAATGTTAGCTAAAATATTTTTTTAAGTCATGAAAGATTTAATTCCTATATTTAGGACGTAATGTTTAGGATGTGGAAAGCCTCCCTGCTTTAAAAATATTGGTGGGACCAGCAGTTAGCATAATGGCTATGTCGCTGAACTCCCGCGTAGTCGACCGCTCTGACCGGTGGCTTAAACTCACACCGGGCGCTTGTGCGTGCGTGCCCAAGATCCCCAGAGGAGAAATACATATATGTATATATGTATATATATATATTGGTGATAAAAGGGACAGCAGGTGGCCTGGTGGTTAAGGGTGCTGAACTCCCACATGGCCAACCGTGGTTGGACCTGGGCTTGCTTGCTTTCTCGCTGTGTCTCTCTCTGCTCAAATTAAAAATAAAGTTAAATACAATAAATAATACAATTTTTTAAAGTTAAAAAATATTGACAATATTGTTTTTATGCTTACAAGATAAGGTATACATATTATTTTTTAGAGAAAGCAAGTTCTGGTGTAATGGCTGTCACTGAACTCCCATGTAGTCGCCCATGGTCCGAGTCCTGGACTCGGTGGCATAAACTCACATCGGGTGCGTGTGCTGCATGCGTGTCCAAGATCCCAAGAGAATAATAGAGAAGGGATTGCAGTGTGGCCAGCCCTCCCGGGGGGTGATTGCTCACTTTCTGTCTCTCTGTCTCTCCTTCTGGCAAGCACACTATATAGCAAAACCCTCTAAAAAAAAAAAAAAAAAAAAGGCAAGTTCCGGGACCAGCGGTTGATGTAATGGCAATGTCGCTGGACTCCCATGTTGTCGACTGCGGTTCGAGTCCCGGATCCAGTGGCTTAAACTCATGCTGGGCACGTGTGTGTGTGTGCCCAAGGTCCTGAGAGGAAAAGGGATTGTGGAGTGACCGTCACTCCTGGGGGGTGATTTCTCACGTTCTGTCTCTCTGTCTCTCTTTCTGGCGAGCCCTCGTGCCCTATATCAAAAACCTCTCAAAAAAAAAAAAAAAAAAAAAAAGAGAAAGCAAGTTCCTCAGAATTTCGGCCATTTCCCACCTACTGCCTCCACCACACTTGGTATATTTAGGATGAGTAGGGTCCGCAACCTCCAGTCTTACCCTAGTTATACCCTAGTTATAACTCACGTCATAGTTGATGTTTCACATTTAATATTATTTCACTTTCTTTTGTTTTTAATTGGCAGAAGGAACTTTCACACTAGCCAAAGTGAAAGAGACAAGGAGAAAGAACAACATCCTTGCCCACATACAAAGCATGGTCATGCTATAATTCCTTCCCCTCTATTTCTCAGCTCTGCTGAGATTGGGAACATGAATGCACATGCACCACGCAAGTTTTTCAAGCTGCTGGCTGGAGATTCCAACTGGTTGGCTATATGGGATCCAGCTCCCTTAACCACTGGGGCTATGAAGCTGTTCCCACATTTAATACTGACAACTCCTTTCCCTTCCCTACTTATCTGAAAGCAAGAAGGCAGGAGACTATATATGTGAGTGCAAAAGAAAATCTATATTAAAACCCTTTATTGGAATGCTTTATATTTTCCACAGAATGGAAACTAAATCTGTTACACAATTAGTCACAAATACAGTTGAATTTTTTGCTCATATAGATGAGTATTGTTTAAAACATTTTTTGTAGCTTTGTATGGCATTACACTTATGGCTCTGCAACTGCTGCTTAACTGAGTTTACAAATCTGTTGTGAATTGCAGCTTCACTGTCACTTCTCTGACATTCTTCTATAGCTAAACTTTGTTTCCTGGTAGTAATTAAAACCTGCTGCAGGGCTGGCAGGTGGGATGGTGGTTAAGGGTGCTGGACTCCCACATGGCCAATCGTGGTTTGAGTCCCAGACCTGGTGGCTTGCTTTCTCACTTTCTTTCTTTTTCTCCCTGTCTCCCTTTCTGGTCAAATTTAAATAAAGTTAAATAAGATAATTATTTTTTTAAAAAATCAATAAAACCTGCTGCTGCCCTGGTTAATTGCTGCTGCTGGAAGTGTATAACCATCTTGGTTTTGTGGTTTAGCAAAGTATTGGCCTCTACCACCACTGGGACCTGAACTTCTGCCTCTAAAGTTCCTTTCATTTCTGAGTCCAAAAGTTGAAGATTGATTGTTGTGATTAACAAAATCCACCACCTCCAAAATCACTTCCATCATTACTAAATCCACTATAATACCCATTTGCACTTTCATTTTATCCACCACAACTGCCACCACCACTACTATGATCAATGAAGCTGACTTCATAGCCAAAGTTGTCATTCCTACCAAAACCACCTCCACAACCACCACAAATATTTCCAGAACCCCTTCAACCTTTTGGGCTGAATGAAAGACCAACCATCTCCTTCTTTGACAGGGCTTTCCTTACTTCACAGTTGTGGCCATTCACAGTATGGTGTTTCTGAGTGACACTCATCTACAGAATCATGATCCTCAAAAGTTACAGAAGCAAATCCCCTCTTTTTGCTACTGCCTTGGTCAGTCAAGATTTCAATCATTTAAATTTCCCCAATGTTCAAAATAATCTCTTAGGTAATGTTCTTCAGTGTCTTTAATGTCACCAGCAATGATCTGTTTTACAATTCAGTGGACATCTGGGCTTTTGAGACTTGAGACAGCCTATTTGGTTCCACATTTCTTCCATCCACCTTGTATGGCACTGCATTTATGGCTGCATCCAACTCTTCCATAGTGGCATATGTGACAAACTCAAAGTCCCTAATGTGCTTAGTGTTTGCCATAGGGCGGGCGCCACCACACCCATGTGCTTAGTGTTTGGATCTTGCATTATCACAGACTGTTGGCATTCCCCATTCCTCAAAATGGCTCCTTAGACTCTAATCAGTTGTTTCAAAGATCAAGCTCCTTTGGAAAGAGCTTCTGTAGCTATTTGATCTCTTTAGGAGACTTTGACTTAAGGCATGATAGCAATGGGACTACAGATTTTAACAATGCTTTCCTAATGGTACCTATAGGTAAAAAGTCCTTTGTTTTTTACTTTTGCTAAAGGTTGTGTGTGCTCACCAGAGAAAGAGAAATAACACCCGAGAGGGGATGGCCACACCATGATCTCTTCATTCTCTTTTCACAATTTTGGACATGCACACACATGTGCCCAGCATGTCTTCCAGCTATGGGTCCAGGACTCAAAACTGTGCAGTCAGCCATGTGGGATCTACCTGTCTTAAGCTCTCTGCCACCTTCTGGCCACAAAGTCATATTTTCATTTAATTGGATTCCCAGTATATGTCATACTGTGAACATTGCATAAATATGAGTGAGGAGGGTGGCTGAATTAACTACTGGAACCACTGCCTTAGGACATCTGATGTGTTATTAACACCCCTTAAAACTGGATTAGCAGATGGTGTAATGGTTACCTCACTGGACTCCCATGTAGTCGACTGGTTCGAGTCCCAGACCCGGCAACTTAAAACTCACATGCCAGGCATGTATGCATGCATGCCCAAAATCCTGAGAGGAGAATGGAAGAAAAGGGATTGTGGCATGGTCATCCCTCCTGAGGGATGATTTCTTGCTTTCTGTCTCTCCAGAAAGCACATGTGCTCTACAGCAAAAAATCTATTAAAAAAAAAATTCCTTTTATAAATGATGTGACTGAGCCAAGAGAGGCTATGTATCTCTCCCCAAAATAGGCTGCTACCAAGTGCAGAATTGTGATATAAACCTAGGTTGTGTGGCTCCAAAGTTTTTTCAACTAGCTGCTAACCTACTTTCTGCCCTTAGCATTGTGGTCCTAGTAAATTTTACCCTATTTATATGATTTTTGCTAGTCATTGTAGTCTTTTTTTTTTTTTGGTTACAGGGCATGTGTGCTCACTAGAGAGACAGAGAGAGACAGAAACCGAGAAATCATCCCCCTGGGGGAGGTGGGGAGATGGCCACACCACAATCTCTTCTCTTCCATTCTCCTCTCGGGATCTTG